GGTGATGGTGAGGAAAACTTGACACCACATTTGCACTATATACTACTTTTTGTAGGATAAGGAAAAAATGTTGGGTTGGCTCTTTTTTTTCATTTCCCTGTACCTCTCTTTCTGTCTTGCTTAGGTTAAAAAACCTAACGCATTTCCTACTGCTGCCTCTGTCTCTTCTCCCACTGGCCTGTGTCTGTCAGTTCTGTAATTAAAATAATAATAAATGCTGCTATTTCTTTTATAGTCCAGGTATTTGGGCGGTAGCCAGACTCATGCTTCTGCAGAAGTAATGCTTCATAGAACTTGGCAAGAACAGACCTTTGTGGATATCTCTGCATTTTGTATAGAAATAACTTCACCCACATAATGGCTGATTAATTAGATTTGAGGAGTGCAGATGAGTTGAAAAGTGAGGAGAGGAGAAACCCATGACTTCCAGCATAGAGCCACACTGAGAACAATACTTCCTCCCAAACCTCACTGCTGCTAATCCAGTTTTTGGGCTGTTCAAAATATTTCTATTATTCCTAATCAAACGTGAAACAATTCAAATGTAAGACAGCAGAAAAAACAAAAACTGGAAGTCAGTGATAATATTAATTTGATGTAAAAAATATAAATACTATTTATAATATGGCATTTCACCTTGAACAAACACTGATGAGGTAGAATCACATATAGTTAATTCAACCTCCAAAATTCTGCTTTTTTATCTGAAAATTCAAAGGGGAGGACGTTAGGTGTTAGGTTATACATGATTAGTTATCACTGCACCCCCTGCAAAATCTGTGCTTGTCATTTAGACCGTGAAATGCACTCTGCACCTAATATAGCATAAAGAAACGCCAGGCACAAGCTTTATTACCCCGGGAATAAATAACTGGAAAAACAGGATCGGACTGCATGTTTTACATTTTCCATATGATGAAAAGTACTCAGGCCAAGAGAGTGCACTAGAAATAAACACTGACACTTCTCAAAAGCTAGAGAAAAACTGAAAGGGAAAAAAAGAGAGAAAGAATAAGAAAGGAATGAGATAACAGAAAAAGAGAAACGAGATATACTACAACAGTAAAATACAAAGTCACCTTAAGTGAAAAGCATATGAAATAAGGAAAATTAAAATCATGAAGATGAAATGAAAATGAAAAAAAAAAAGTAATCCCTTTTTAGAGAGCTTTGTGCTCAGTTCCACACAATATAGGACATCAGTGTTCCTTTCCTCCTAAGTCTCAGATCAAATTCTTCCATGAGAACCACAGGACACACACCACAGATGCTGGGCAGCCAAGCAAAAGTGAAGTTTTTGGATTGATTCACAAATGGGACGTTACAGTGGCTCCACCAGGATTCCAGAATAACCTGATAATTAGGATGTAGTTGACTGGGGTCTCTGAAACCAAAAATGACCCTGTGCTCCTGGCCTCAGCGGAATTTGCTTGTTACTTGTGTTTAAGCTGTATCTCCTCATGCAGCGAGGATCTGGGTTAGACAGCAGCCCCTGGGCTGCAGCTCTGCTGCTGGTTATATGACACAGCCATTGCAGGGGACGGGCACCTGAATTGCTCAGGAGCCACCTGTGACTCCAGAACCGCAGATGGTACCACTGCTACTGTGATAACCCTGATTCAGAGCACTTACAACCTGCCATGGAGGCTGGAGTGGACTTTTACCTTCAACATTGATAGACTCTGGGTCTGGCTCTATGTAAAATCTAACAAAATTATAAAATCTCCCATTTCCATTTCAATACATAGGAATGGTATATTAGGCTTACTAAATATATCAAGTCTACAGTATGTGTCTGAAGCACTCATTTAATTAAAACAAACCCCAGACCAGTAGAAGCTAGAACAATAGAAAATAAGAGTAGAAAAGCAAGACGTGAAAATCCCTTTTAAATAGAAACAAATTACAGTTAATGTATCTGTTAGAAGCACAGTCACATAGAAATGGAAATGGAGGCAGGTGAGAAAGGAGATGGTCTAAAATCCTTCAAAGAAACTAAAAGATCAGCATTTCAAGCCTGTGGTCCTATATGCACCCCACTGAAATCAGCAGATGCCATGGTAGTGTATGCATGAATATATAGCAATAATTAACAGCAAACAGAATTACATGCTATGTGAAAAATCACGTTATGTGTCCAAAGTGATTAACCTGAATTATCTGTTAATTCCTCCCAACTTCACAAAACAGCTGGACCTACTGAGATCAAAGGAGATAAGCCAGCTACATGACCCCTGTGATCTTCCCCTCTCTCTGGTTCCAGGCACAAATCCTGCGGTGGATGGGAACAGACTTAATTGCCTTGGCGCTCCTCTGTGCTACTTGTACTTACCCCTCTAGGAATAAGTGAAGCCCCGGGGACCTAATCCAAGGCCATCTCACTTTCCATTAAAGGACAACTTACAGAACCCAGTGCCAGATCCCGAGTAGTATCCTGTAACCATGGTGGTATTCTATAGCCATTAATTCATTAATTGTGCCTGGGTTCTGGCACGAAACAAGTATTTGCCACAGAGTCCTGAATTTTCTGTATGATTTCTATTAGGATTTATTTTATTTTCAGTCACTTTTCCTGCTGAAACACTGTTCTCTCAAAGTTTTTATTTAGCACTTTTACATATACCTTTCCTGTTATTTTTTGGCTAGTGAGGGGTCTATCTTGCATTTACATAATTAAAATATTCATAATTCTCATCAGCAAAAGACCTGGAATAAAATATGGCTTCTTTAAGTCCTGTCAGTGAAACTCCCATTTTTAGTTTTGTTCCAGTCAATAGTGCTATATGTGGCACAAAAGTGGCACTGTGTCTTCGGTTCTGATGCTTCTCAGATGTCCCTTCTTTCACACAGAAAAGAATTAAAAATACCCCCACTTTATTTGTCAACTCCTAAAGCTTGACCCTGACACACGGTAAAGGCATGCAAGAAAGACTGGTCCAAAAGACTTATAAACCCACTCAGAATATTTCCAGGTGAGAATGTTAAGCAGAAACATTCAAACTTTTAAAAAGTTAACTGAAGACAAACTATTTCTGGAAGTGTCTTTACATAATTAACTGTATATAAATACAGATAAATCAAGATGGTTTGGCAAATTCCAGTTTATCCAAGTTAAGTAATCATGGTGTACTTCAAATGCTAACCAGAATTTATTTAAATATGATTTAAAATGCTAACCAGAGGTTTATAATTCAGTTCAGTTAACTGAAGCACGCACTGCGTTTCACCACCAAACTCTGACTATTTAAACTGACAAGGCTATTTTGGTTGCTATTTTGTGAGACAGGCAGAGAGAACTTGCTGCAAGCACTTGGTGATCTTTAACTGCCACATTAACACTTCAAACTGCAGTTATCAGGGCAAAGGGGCCAAAACTACCCCAAGAGCACGGACTGGAAAATTATAATTGGCTCGTGAAAATAACAGAACATTCACTCACTTAATTTCATGGGAAAAAATACCCGTTCCCTGAGGTCAGTCCCTTCAAAGTATTTTTCTTGTTTATCATCGTTGCAGTTAAGAAGCCGGAGAAGTTTAACATGTTATAAGAAAAAAGATGCTTCTGAGCCAGTATGCTGTATTTTATTGGCTATGCAACCCCACAGCCCAATCCCACAGATCCTTTTCTTTCCCTTACTTTATTCTCTACATCTCTACATCCATTCTCTCCATCATTTCCATCACCTCCCTACCTCTTGCCTTCTTAGTCTTGTTTCTGCAGCTGATTTGTAAACCCTTAAAACTTTCACGAATTTGGTGGCAACTGTCCCTACGCAGAGTCATAGGGATTTTCCCATACTGATCGGCTGTAATCTTTTGGGACGAGGAGCCAGAGTTATTTTGGCTAGAAAATGCCTAACATGTTTCGGTTGCTAAGTAAACAACAAACTGTATCCGTGATGCTTGGGTGAGCCATTCAGAATACCAGTATAGTTATCTGGTTAGTCCTTTCTTCACCTGATCACACGGTAATGACTGTGCCACTTAGGAGATAAGACTTTCACTGTCTCACTTTGCTGCTCAGGTGAAATCAAGAGAAGAATTTGACCTTTATGTTTCAGCGTGGCCTCCTGAACCGTTAACACCGCATGTGGACGCACGGGCAAGCTTACCGTGTAAGCGCAACACCTAGCACAGTGCTTTTCTCATAACCCACTCCGGAACATGAAGTAAAGCGAGCACGGAGCGATGCAGATCTGGCAAATCCGCAGATGTTTTCCCCAGCCCCGCTGCAGACACGGCACTCCACCTGACCTCCCGGGCAATGCCCCCGAGCCTAACACGCCGAGGAGACCCATCCGCATACACCACGCGCCCTCTCACGCAGGGCCGCAAGTGGGAAAAAAGCGACATACCTCGGCAAACGCCGCCTGCCGTTCCACCCGGGGGAGCACCGGGCAAGAAAAGCACCCCGGCCCGGGCCGCAGCAGGGACGCGGGGCGGACCCCTCCCGCCCGACGGCGCAGCCCCTCGCTCCCCACACGTAACGGTATTTCCCACTGAAACGCTCCGCGTCCCTCCCCACGGCCCCGGCCCCGGCGGCTTCTCCGCGCCGACGGGGGGGGAGCCA